TCAAAATTCATAAGTAATTTAAATACATTAAATTTATAATATTCCACATACTTGCGGGAAATAAAAAAGTTCCAAACGATATCATTATATAATTACGAATTTTTATTACTCTTGCTAGCTCAGAGGAATTTTTGTTAAACTCTAGACTGACATAATGTTTTTTTAGTTCAGTAAGTAATATACCTTGGCCTATAGCACCACCACCTTCAACCATATCTTTGCCCAATAATTCCTCGCATAGAGAATCGGGTTGTTGAACCGACCCGTTAACCACCTTACCGTCGACAGAGAGACCCAATAACATGTACTAGTCCTCTATTGTGACAGTACATTCACCTATTGGTAGATGAAATGTGTGTGTCTCTCGGGTCTCCACCTTTCCAACGTTGCAAGTATAAACTTTGAATCAATCGTACAGTTAGATATCTTTATAACATTTTCAAAACCCGCATATTTGAGATAGGGCACGATCAACGGGTTGGGAGCAATGTAGTTGTGTGAGCGAATTTTGAATCTTTTAGTATCCTAAATTCAAAATGTAAAAAGTGTAAGAGTCCATAAGATGTATAAATCATTAATAATATTATAAAAAATATATTAGTATACAAGAATATTTGAGAATTTATAAAAACTTACAAATGCCACAATGTTGTCCCTTGTGTCTCTGTGAGAATCGTCCATTGTGAGAAGAGTCATAGTTGAAATTTTATAAGATAATGAAAGAGTTTGTATCAGAGAGTGAGATGATTGTTGATGCAAAACAAGTATGTGAGGCTCTGTATTTATAGGTAAATTTGTATCAGAGTGAATAAACGAGGTGGTCGGTGGTTGCATGTATGCATGATATGTGTCACTCATGCGCCAAGTCAAATGACCCCTACATGCAATTTAGAGAGCATACGCCATTCAACTTGGCGTGAGACAGGCCTAGTTGTTGTAGTGTAGGTGCAGGTTAGGTGGCAGTCTTGGGGAAGGATTTTCTGCATGCATGTAATACGATTGGACATGTAGGGAGGCGCCATTTGACTTGGCAAATTAGTATAAAATTGAAATGTGTCGCCATTCCAATTGGCAAAATAGAGGTGGCATAGGTTGTAGTGTAGGTGCAAGCTAGGTGGCAGTCTTGGGGAAGGGTTTTCTGCATGCATGTAATACGATTGGACATGTAAGGAGGTGCCATTTGATTTGGCGAATGAGTACAAATTGAAAGGTGTCACCATCCCAATTGGTGAAATAGAGGCGACATAGGTTGCAGTGTAGGTGCAGGCTAGGTGGCAGTCTTGGGGAAGGGTTTTATGCATGCATGTAATACGATTGGACATGTAGGGAGGCGCCATTTGACTTGGCGAATAAGTACAAAATTGAAAGGTTTCGCCATCCCAATTGGCGAAATAGAGGTGGCATAGGTTGCAGTGTAGGTGCAGGTTAGGTGGCAGTCTTGGGGAAGGGTTTTCTGCATGCATGTAATACGATTGGACATGTAGGGAGGCGAATTAGTGCTTATTGTTGTCTTGTTCAAATTCAGTGCAACCTATTTAATCCTACATTTATCAAAACACTTCTACACTTAACCACTCAAACACTAGAACATTCATAAATTCAAACAATCAGGCACTGAAACACTCAAACACTCAAACACTTAAACATACAAACACTCAAACCTTCAAACCTTCAAACATTCAAACACAATGGCCTCTACACCATAATATGTTATCAATGCACATTTCAACGATGAGACATACATTTGTCCCACCTCAGGGTTTTTGTTTAGAGACACTGAGAACATTCGATTTTGTTTAAACATGAAAGTCAATTTCTTATATTTCAAAAAACGATTGGAGGTCAAACTTGGACGAGGTCCCGTGACACAAATCTTCTATCAAAATACGATTTTTTGGTGAGAACCAAATAATATATTATAAGGTTGAGTTTCAAGATGATGAGGACCTTCAAAATATGTTTTCTAGTCATGAGTATTTTGGGTACGACTCTATTGAGTTGTACATTATGCTGCGGGAGCCTCAGCTGTCACGACCAACTCAATCACAAGTGGTTGATCCTCTCGAAGCCGAACAAGCAGAAGTAAATGTCATTGACGAAGAAAAGGAAGATGATGAGTTAGAGCTTGACGACATGGTCAACGATGATTCTGAAGATCATGGGATACCTGGTATACCTCCGAATGAGATCTACACACCACCTCTGCACATGACAAACTTTAACATGGGCGGAGATGAACCCTCATCTAATGTTTTTTTCAATCCGTATATGTAGTCGGATGAAAACTTAAAAGAGAAAGACAAATTTCGTAATAGAGAAGATTGTATCTGAGCCATAAAAAAGTTTCACATGCTAAACTCGGTTGATTTTAAGGTAGATCGTGTAAATCCAGAAAGGTACAAGCACAAGTGTGTCCACCCAGATTGTATGTTCAAGCTCACTGCATCACACATATTAAGAGGTGATTGTTGGGTGATAAGTTCTATGTCCATCCACACGTGCGTCAATTCTACTCAATCACAGAATCATCGGAAACTAAATTATGATCTCATATGTCAAGAAATCCTACCTCTTGTCATCAATGATCTGTCATTGAAGGTGAAAACCATAATCTCTCACATCACTACGGTATATAACTATACTCCGTCATACCGAAATGCGTGGTTAGCAAATACCAAGGCGATTGAAAAGGTATATGGAAATAGGGAGGAGTCATATAAAGAACTTCCCCGCTACATGCATGCACTTCAGACGTATTCTTCGGGTACTGTTTATATTATTGAAACATTTCCGGCGTACGCCCCAGATGGTACTCATGTCACTGGAAATGGAATATTCAGTCGAGTGTTTTGAGCTTTTCAACCTTGCATCACAGTGTCTGTGTCGTGCAAACCTATTATTCAAATTGACGGGACTTGGTTGTATGATAAATACAAAGGCACGCCACTGATGGCAGTTGCACAAGACGACAACAATAACATTTTCCCAATTTCCTTTTCTCTTGTCGAGGGAGAGACTGATGGTTCTTGGAGTTTCTTTCTCAGGAATCTCCAAACACACGCGGCTCCTTAACCAGATCTCTGTTTGATTTCCGATAGACATGCATCTATTGAGAGTGCATACAATAATCTTGCAAACGGTTGGCATGATCCTCCTTCTACGCATGTCTACTGCATTAGACATATCGTACAAAATTTCACGAGGGAGATCAAAGACAAGGCTCTTAGGAAAGCAGTTATGAACGCGGGGTATGCATTAACACAACCTACGTTCAAACACTATCACAACGAGATCAGATTATCAAATCCAGAAGTAGGTAGGTGGATCGATAATATTCCGGTGGAGAAATGGACAAGGTCATACGAAAATGGACAACGATGAGGCCACATGACAATAAATCTTATTGAATCCATGAACGGTGTATTCAAAGGCATACGAAACCTCCCAGTAACTGCTTTGGTTAAATCAACATATTTTAAGATGGATTCGTTGTTTGCCAAAAGAGGTGAAATATAGAATGCTGTCTTACAATCGAGACAACTATGGAGTGAAAGCTGCATGAAGTATATTAAGGCAGAAAGTGCCAAAGCCAACACCCATCTAGTTATAAGGTTTGACCGACACATCCATAACTTCATTGTCAAAGAGACAATCGATCATAACGAGGGGCTGCCAAGACAAGAGTATAGGGTAATATTACCATCTCGTTGGTGCGATTGTGGCAAATTTCAAGCCTTTCGTATGCCTTGCTCTCATGTCATTGCGACATGTGCGTATACTCATCGAGACACATTACAACTTCTATCTCCCATTTACAAGTATGAAATCTTGCTTAACGTATACAACAACGGGTTCCCATTGGTAGCGAAACCTGATTATTGGCCTGCATACGACAGGGAAATAGTATGGCACAACGATCAAATGCGAAGGAATAAAAAGGGTCGTCCCAAAAGCAAGCGTATCACAACTGAAATGAACTCCCTTGACAAGCTAGAAAGAAAGTGTGATTTATGTCGTCAGATTAAACACAATCGAAAAAATTGTCCCACTCGGGCTACAAGCTCAACAACATAAAAATTGTATGCAAATCATCTTTAATTTTTAAAGTTCTAAACATTAATGTTTTTCATTAAGAACATTTGTTACAACAAACCATACGCAAACAACAAATAAAAACACGATAAAACGTCTAAGAAATTACAACCGTAAAAAACAATTTCATCTGAGTCATGCATCATCACCATTACGTCTCTGTCTATTTTGACTTCCTCCAACCAAAAATTAGGTCTTCCAGTTACAAGTGAGGTGGTTGTTCTTCTTCTCTAGATCCTTCTAATTTATTCTCCATCCTCAATGTCTCCCTCTAGCCATCACATCAACTCTCTATTCAGACGCTCCATGGAGTGAATGTGCCAAAATTTCATTTTCATCGGAGGTTTGGTGACCGAGAAAATAACGTATCTATCTCTGGTGAAAATCATGGGAGATGTCATGACGCAAATAACAGAGAAAAAACAAGAAGACAATGTGAGAAAATGTGAAGAATGACAGAGAATCGAGTCATTTATTTATAGAAAATAACATTTGCCCTAGGCGCCAAGTGAGATGACGCCTCCTCTCACTTTTAAAGTGCATGCACCATCTCACTTGACTAAAAGTGAGAACATGCACCAAATGAGATGGCGCCTAAGACATAATGATATGTGCATGCGCTAACTGAGTTGACTCCTCCTTTATGGAATTTTCTGAAACATAATTATTTACGTAATTTTCTCTAAAACATTATTATTTGTGTATTTCTTTTTAAAACCTAATTATTGAAAAAAAAAAAATCTTATTATTGAACATTATATCTTATTGATGAAGTAGGTTCATAGATTTATTTTTTGGTTTAATTGAAGGAGTTGGCCGGTTTCTTTGGTTTTGAAGACAAACAGTTGAACACTTGTAAGTTCTAACTAACACTATCTCTTGTTACCTCCGCCATATACCTTACTTGAATGCGCCCTTTCTTCCACCATTCCCATTCTCGCATTCTTCGCAATCCTTTTTCTCTCTCTACAATGTCTTCTTCTCTCACTCTTCCCTTCCCCACTCTCTCTCCTCCAACCCTCTCTCTTCAAAGCCATCATTTCCCTCGATCTAGGGTTACCGCGAGCATCTCCACCGGATCCCAGGCTTCTATCCACGACGCTTCCTTGGCTGATTATAAAGTCTCCAACGCCTTTCTCTTCCCCGGCCAGGTACATTTTCCACTCTGCAATTTTGATTCGAATTGAAAAGGAAACTGCTAAGTGTGTCTACGAAATTATTTGATTTGATGTGATTTTTCAGGGTGCTCAAGCTATTGGAATGGGAAAAGAAGCTCAGAATGTTCCTGCTGCTGCAGTTTTGTACAAGAAGGCTAATGAGATATTAGGGTAATTAGTTACTACTAGCTAGAACTTATGAATTTAATTACAAGATTTTATGGTTTGTATTAGATGTTGACTTTTTTTTTTCTTCCTGATTTAGGTTTGATCTTCTTGATGTATGTATTAACGGGCCGAAGGAAAAGCTGAATTCAACTGTTATAAGTCAGGTATGCATTGAGGCTTTTGTTGTATAACTAACAATCAAGGCGATAATTTGATTTGTCATAGGCTATGTTTTATTGAAGTGGAATGAAGTGAAATCGAGTGGAATAAATATCATTAGTTCATCATTGTTTGGGAAGATTGAGATGGAATCAACTTATTATTTACTGATTTCTTTACCTTGCAGTTCACTTCCCGAAGCGGAGTTTGTTTTTCAGTCCATCCTAAAATTTCTTAACAATATAGTATACCTCTATTGCATTCCACCCATCACTAATATCGATACATATCCTCAGTATTCCATGAAGGACATAGAAATGTAGGTTAATAATATTAGAAATTATAGTGATGATTTACTCTATTTAATAAAGAACCTTCTACTATTAGCTGTTACTTAACTAACAACAGTAATGCTTATGTATGTACTAATTATTCACTTCATAAGGTAGTCTGTGTTAAGTCGCCAATGGTTCTGTAGACTGCTCTGCCGTTACATTAATGTCAATAGCAAGTATCTATTTTGTGTGAATGGTAGAAGATAACTTAGTATACCGGAGATTTGGATGCCATTCGTGAGTCATTGGTTCATGTTTGTTGATTTAGTATAGATAATTTAAAACAATAGATCAATGCGCCAAAACAAAGTACTAGAGTTGTTCTGTGTTCAGAAAAACTGGTCAAGAAATTTTCAGTTTAATGATTTGAAGTTGAATAAACAGAAATCACTTCTGCTGGATCACTTCAGGATTCAGATTCAAGTTCAAAGATTGATTTGTGCCTTAAGCTTATATGTTTGACCCAATTAGAAATATTATAGCAACAGCAGCGAAACCTTATATATTAATGATGTTTCAAGTTCCCTAATGGAGCATTTATCTTTAAATCTCTCTTGATGATTTAAAACTAATTGCTGTTAACCTAAAGGGGAAATAGGTGTCTAAGAGCTATAACGAGAGTCTGATCCCCCAAGGCCACGTTTCCTGCACTTGAGCATTCCATTCCCTTCTCATTAGACCTCAAATCTTCCCTGTGATCAATATTTTAGAAGAATAGAGAAATAGAAGCATGAGGCAAATATCTATATGGTGATATTTTGTACACATGAACACATCCATCGCTTTGTTCTCCATGAAATTTTGTTGTTTATAAGTGTCATAGATGTAAATTTACCATCTAATTATCTGCTTCTTCAGCCTGCCCTTTACGTCACAAGTCTTGCTGCTGTTGAGCTACTTCGTGCGCGTGAGGGAGGGGAGCAGATTATTGATTCTGTTGATGTTACATGTGGTTTGAGCCTGGGAGAATATACTGCTCTGGCATTTGCTGGGGCTTTCAGGTGAGTTGACAAGAGTAACTATTATTAATTACCGTGTGCTTTATATTGCTTCCCAGCTTCCCATTTTTTTGCCTTCATTTTTCATATTTTCCTGCATTTATCAAGAAATATTTAGAAAAAGTGAAATATGTAACTACAGCGTATGGGGCCTTTCTTTTACCATGAAATTCCTGTAGCTTTTTTGTTGAGTTACACCTTTTCTTTCTTGATGGCGGTGGCATTAGGAAGACCAAGTAGATATGTCTGAGTGACCCAACTATTCTATGGGTTTTTCTATCTGTGAATCATTTAAGGTTTATATAGCTTAAATCACATCAGCCATAACAATCCACTAAATGAGTTTCTTGTTGGCAGTATAAGACTATACCATCTATGAGAAGTTGTGACAATTTGTTTTCAGCTTGTAGCGTATACGGCTAATGAGGGCATATCTTCCCTTCGTGATTTTGACCATATAAATTGTTTAACAAAAATGTACTTTGAGCGATTTTTCTTAAAGTTCAACTTATTTCTTGATTTACTTGCTCTTGACTTTTGTATTTAATTTGATTTGTAAGCTTTGAAGATGGATTGAAATTGGTGAAACTGAGGGGTGAAGCCATGCAGGTAATAAATATGTGGTAGTTGGTTTAGTTTCTTGTCTGGCTTGCATAGTTACACCACCGCCCACGTCTTTGGAAAGTAATTTGAATTCACATGAATACAGGATGCTTCTGATGCTGCTAGAAGTGCCATGGTTAGTGTTGTAGGATTAGACTCAGAGAAGGTCCAGCAGTTGTGTGATGCAGCCAATCAAGAAGTGCCTGAAGCTGAGAAGGTTCAAATTGCAAATTTCTTGTGTCCAGTAAGGTTCTCGCGGCTCTGGCTTTTAGCAACCTCAGGCAAAATTTCATATCTAAAATTTCTGATAAATAACTTCTACGGAATTGACTGTTATATTTTGGTAGGGAAACTATGCTGTCTCTGGAGGCATAAAAGGAATAGAGGCGGTGGAAGCCAAAGCAAAATCTTTCAAGGCTCGAATGACTGTATGATATTTCCCCCCTAAACTTGTGTTTTTCACACCACCTTTCGCAAAGTAGTAATGCCTTTTCTTCATGGTGGCAGGTGCGCCTAGCTGTTGCAGGTGCTTTCCATACTAGTTTTATGGAACCTGCTGTTTTAAGATTGGAAGCAGCATTGGCATCAACGGACATTATAACCCCAAGAATACCGGTCATTTCCAATGTAAATGCTCAGCCACACGCAGATCCTGACACAATAAAGAAGATATTGGCACGACAAGTAAGCTAGTGATAATTGTTTCTATCCTATGAGCATAGGCGTGACGTCAGAATGGAAAATTATTATACTTTTAATGCAATTGGCAGGTTACTTCCCCTGTTCAATGGGAAACAACAGTGAAGACTCTTCTATCCAAGGGGCTGAAGAAAGGCTATGAACTTGGACCCGGAAAGGTTGAAAATTTACATAGCCTATATCAGCATTCTTGAATCTCAATCAAGTTCTCTAGTTTCACAATTTTGCTGACTTTTGTTTCTCTGTACTCTTCAGGTTATTGCCGGAATTGTCAAAAGAATGGACAAAGGTACTGAAATTGAAAACATAGGTGCTTAAGAAGGCCGCAGGACCTTGCTACTTATGTAGCTTCCTATACAAACAACTACAATATTGCATTTTTAATTTTCATGAGCAAACTCGCGCTAGCTAAATCAAAGACAGAACGCATGGACGGAACCTGAAGCTTTCTGTGAGCAAAGAGCAGCTTCAGTCAGATTTGAATTCCAGTTTTGAAGTTAAAAATATTTAGATACCTTATGAACCAGTTAGATCAGTGTTTGATATCATTGCTTAGAATTCCAGTTTATTTATGTAATCTTTATAGAATGTTTGTACAATCTACATTACATGGCCGAGTTAATATCTACTTAAATCTCTGTATCAATAAATTTTAGATGATACAATTGTTGATTAAAGATTTGAAATGACATTTGAGAATAATTATTTTCCATACAATTTAGTCAAATTTATGCAATGGTATTACTTGTTGTCGCATTACACCAAATTTCTCACATTATTTGAAAATTACTTGAAAACCAAGGTCTTATAGTTGAATTAATAATTACTAAAGCTGAAATGAGAAAGATAAATCACTTTAAGCATCTTCTTAATAATATTGATTTTGAAATGAGTAAATAACAAGTTAAAAGAAGACATTCATAATTGAAATGAAAAGAGAGAAAAAAAAGCATGAATTTGCATAACAAATTTTTCCTTCAACTCTTCAAGTGTTTGATGATTGTCTCCGTCTCCGAATCTGATCAATCCAACGATCCTCCGGAACTTGCGAAGCCCATTGAGGAACCTCTCCGACAAAGGAAATGCCACGCATCGCCTCCATCACCCTCGCAGTGTTCTCCGTCGTCAGCGGCGCCGTCCTTCGATTCTCATCTTCCCTCAACGCTCTTCGAATCTCACTTTCAAATTCTTCTCCACTCCTTTCCTCCTCTTCCTCTTCATCACTGCTCTTCTGCTCTACGCCGTCGTTCAGATCCAGCATCGAGATCCCGTTCTCCGCTCGATGAACACTGTACCCGTTCGGAAGTTGCTGAAACTCAACGCCGTGCTCTCCGTCGGAGCTTCCGTCGTCGTCCACCGCAGATATCGGCTGGTAATATTCCAACGCGTCCTCTGAATTCGCATCCGAATCGCTCCCATGTCCGTTTTCTACCAATAAAGAAAAGAAAAATCAATACATGAAGCAGCAGTTAATAATAATTTTTTTCAGAGAGAAAAATAAACCTTCGATAGAATCAATGGATGCACTATTCATTGCTGAGATATGAAAGTAAATAACGAAAGATCAGAACTATGCAAGAACATAAAGAAATAAATACTAGCATTTTTTTTATAAATAAATTAAAATTATTATTGTTGAAAAAAAACTATATTGCACCAGCCGGGAATCGAACCCGGGTCTGTACCGTGGCAGGGTACTATTCTACCACTAGACCACTGGTGCTTGTTGTTTACAATTCGAATTTACTTATTTTATTTTATTTTCTTTGAGAAGGAAAATCATGATAAAGTTGATATTCATGGTAGTGTGTAAACAGTGAAGGATAGAGGGTGTTGGAATGGCAATTCCAATATTGAGGACTGCAATGATGATTTCTCAATCTCAACCATTTATTCAATATTCTATATCTGCTGTTGATGAAATTGCTAAGCGGAGGAAAAGAGTAGTGTTCTCTTCTTCTCATTCTTCAGAACTTAACCCTGTAATTAGGTTAGAAAACTCTTCATTTTATGTTTTTGAATCTTAATGATTATTTGGGATTTTATTAATAATGGGTTTGGTTTTAATTTTTTTTTGTTATTGCTGAGGTTACAGGACATCAGAGGTATCATTTTCTGTTGGGACTTGCCTTATTCCACATCCAAAAAAGGTAGTAGTAGTTTTGTAATTTTATTTATTTATTTTTTGGTGTATCTATTTGTTGCTAGCTCAATTTGTGGTGTTTGTGAAGGTTGAGAAAGGTGGGGAAGATGCTTTCTTTGTGAGCAACTATGATGGAGGAGTTATTGCTGTTGCTGATGGTGTTTCTGGGTAACTTACTTTCTCACCAACTTCAATTTTATATAATTACTTGTTAATTTAAACTTTCCTGTTATGCATCATATTGAGATATTGTTTTCGGATAATATGCTTTGCAGTTGGGCTGAAGAGGATGTAGATCCTTCATTGTTCCCGCGCGAATTCATGGCTAATGCTTACAATTTTGTGGGAGATGAGGAGGTATCATAACCTAAATGCACATACTGATTACGAGTATTTCTAAAATTAACATTAGTTTGCTTTCCAAGTACATTCGTTTTTTCAACTTTACTGCCATGAATCAATATGAATGCTTCTATGCATGTGCTACTGTTTGCTAATAAAAATATCGAATATTGGTGGATTTATCAGGTGAACAATGATCCTCAAATTCTTATGAGGAAAGCACATGCTGCTACTTTCTCTACAGGCTCAGCTACTGTGTAAGTTTATCATTTGTTTTTATTTAGCATGCTGATTTGGATTAAAAAGTTTACAACTGATATGCGTTTTAATTTTAAACTATTCTAGCGCATTATTTATAGCTCGTTGATTTACTGTCTGCGATTCTGTGAAGCATCATTGCTATGTTGGAAAAGAATGGGAATCTGAAGATAGCTAATGTTGGTGATTGTGGATTAAGAGTTATCCGGAATGGTAAGATGTTGTGTTGAAAAGGAGTTATTCAATTTTCCCTATATATTTTTTTCTGATTTTCCTTTCGTCTCTTACCCAAAACACTCTTATGTTGAGAACTTGAATTTCTGTGTTTCTTTTCCAGGTAATATAACTTTTTCTACTTCTCCCCAAGAACATTACTTTGACTGTCCATTCCAACTGAGCTCTGAGAGGGTTGGCCAAACATACCTTGATGCAAAGGTAACATTTAACAATTGCCACTACTATATTTGGATTATTAACTTTCTTTCCTCCTCCCACTCTTCTATCTGTCTTCACTTCACTCTTCAAAATAAGCTAGATTTCTAAACCTGCCTCATATCAAACAGAGAATAATATATATATACTAGCTTCAACAACCTAACTAACTCCATATCAAAGAATAACAGAAACAACTTATCCACATAAATCAGATACAGGTTTATTTATCTCTAATAGTCAATAAAGAGAAAATGGAAAAGAAGCCGAGAACACAGCCACCTAAGCATTCTTTCTCAGATTGAGACAGATACTACATATTCGTATACTTCCTAGAATAGTCGTATGCTATACAACTATATTTGTATATTTTGTTTTTTGCTATGAAACATCTATACATACACAATCATCAGATACGACACTGACAGGTCAGCACCTGTAATTTATGAAAATAGAAGTGATTGACTACAAGCAGAGCCATCTCAAGTTTTTGGAGGCATTGTGTAGGTTAGCTATAGTTTAACTGTGGCAAAACAAATAGAGGCTCTATATACTCACAATTTAACCTAGCAAATATTTTGAGCCCCTATTTAACTATAGTTTAACCCTGGGAAATTCGAGGCCTTGTGCGGTAGCCCTTTTTGCACGCCCTTAAAGACAGCCTTGAGTACATGTATTAGTGTCATGTTAGACACCAAACACGGCTTCGTTACATAGGGTTTTTGAGCTCACATATCAGTCATAAATGTTAGACTTGGGTTAGGGGGTTCAGCCTCTGTTCTCTCTAAACTCTTTCCGGTATTTGTGTTTAAATAGCTTACTTGACTTGGGTGAAGGCCAAGATATGTGTGACCATATTGACTAAAAAATAAATATACAATTTCCCAATGGGGATAAACTTGGATTTCATACCTGAGATAAATGTAGTACTATTATATTTTCGTTTGTTAACCTTGACATGGAGACAGGTAAGTAATGTGGAGTTGATGGAAGGAGACATAATCGTCATGGGATCTGATGGGCTCTATGATAATGTTTTTGACCATGAAATCGCTCTAACCGTCGGTAGATACAAAGATGTTTCGGACGCTGGTATTATCTTCCTTGATTGATCAGTTTGAGGAATTTAGATTGACCGTAGGACTTTCACTGATTCACAGTTCATTTTGTTGCTAGCAAAGGCATTAGCTAACTTGGCAAGCAGTCATGCAATGGATTCAAATTTTGATTCTCCCTATTCATTGGAGGCCAGATCCAAGGTAAGGAAATAAGTTTATAACTAGACTCCATTTGTTTTATAAAAAAGAAATTATATAAAATGATGCATTATTTTATAACTATTGTTTAGTTTTGGAAAATAACTTATTAATAGGGAAGTCACATTCTCAAGTTTAAAAGATTTGCAGTCATTGAACAAATTGACAGTTGCACAAATGACAAAGATATTGTCTGCAAACAAACACCAGAAAAGTTGAAAACACATTATATATTTTTGTGTGTGCATAAAACCGATTCACAATTATATTAACTGTCTTCTTCTTTTTTGATGCATTGTTAACAATTTTCCAGGGTTTTGAAGCTCCGTTGTGGAAGAAGATTCTTGGAATGAAGCTGACAGGTGTGGCATAGAAAATTCTAAAATAGCTTTTATTTTCTCTCTATATGTCGCTGACCTTACTTTTTCTTTTTTAATAAACAGGTGGAAAGCTTGATGATATTACTGTAATTGTTGGTCAGGTTGTAAGTTCATGAGATTATGCGTAAAGAAATCAAGATCTTGATTGTGGGATCACTAGGGCAGGAGTTTCCTCAAATACATCGCGCGCCTATAATTTTGGCGATGCTCTTAGAAAAAATTATTAATTTTTCCTCATGAAATACTCCTACTTTTCCATCAAGCCTGTAGTGCTTCATGCATAGGGAAAAGGAGCTGTATAAGATATTCATTGTAAGTTTTTTTCTGTTTTGTTTATGAAATGTTGTACATAAAACTTGTCTTTGATACGGTGGAGAATCATGACGGTGAGTTGAAAAACAGAACCAGTACTGGTAAGAAAAAACTTGTAATGTTAAAATAATGCATTTCCCTGACAGCTTGAGCTTATATTCCTCCAAGTCTCCAACAAATGCCTATTCTATGCAATATACTTATTTTTTTTATATGTACCTTATACACACACACAACTGTGATACATAACATGCGAATAAAGAGAGAAGGACGCGTGAATGAATACGTTTGCAGAAATTTATGATTGATATTTAAGTGGTGGGGTGATTGGAAGTATCCATGATGAAAGGATGCACAATCGTCTAAACAGTTTTCCTGCATGTGGCGAATAAGATATTAGCGTGTCACACCTCCACCCATGGTTGCAATTGTTTGCTGATCTCAAACTGGCATTTGATGACACGAAGCTTTTCGTGCTTCAAAACGAATTAGATGTAAACTCGGATATTAAAGATGAGGACCATATTACATGGTTAATGGTTTATGCACCTTCTGAGACGATGTTTGACTGTTGCAATTTGCATCCAGAGGCTAGTCTTTGATTATTCTATATCTGTTGGGACTTCATTGCAATTTTAAAGCAAAAATGCGTATATTGCTGTACCTAGCTAGGAAAACTATTGTTGAACTGCAATTATCTTGCAGGAGCTAGCATGCACGCTTCTCATACCTTGTGCTTTACACAATAGCAAAACTATTTGGAACTGTGATATTAATATTCAGCATCTCCATTGTTTTTAAGAGGTTCAATCCCTTGTTAGTGGAGCTTTAATTGTAGCTAAATTGCTTCCTTATATACATGTGGTCGAAATCTAAAGGTGCATATGTCATTCAAATAGTTTGTTGGTGTTGATTGTGTGTGCAATCTACAGCAACTCAACTCTTGTTTTCTTTTAACTCTCACAACAATGATATATAATTGTCCATGAAGACCAGTCTTTGAAAACATAGTCCAACTTAAAGAAAGTATTTGTCCTTACGTCTTTGAAATTAGAAAGGAAGATTTATGTCGTGTGAAACTAACCGTAGAATAGTCATCCTAGGAACTAGAATAGTATCCCTACTTCAGTACTTTTTTTGAAGGGTCCCCAACTCTAGTACATGTTATGAGGATAACATATTTTTCAAACTATGTTAAAGAATTGTGGTTTGGCAATACTTAAGCCTATAAAACCAATTTATAAGGTTATAATTGTTCCGACTTAATTTAGTATATAATCCATTTGTTTGGTTAATATATTTCATTAAGGTGAATTCTTATCTATCCAACACAAAAAGCTGGATAAAATTATCTTTAGAGTAAAATATTTTGAAGACAATTAAAAAGTATGTTATTTAATAAATAATTAAATATAATAAAATTAAATGTTACAATATAATTGGTGGAAGGTATACTACTCAACTTTTTGTTTGAGACTAGGTCAAAAACGATATGTTGTTAATGAATGAGATGTTGGTATTAGTAATGATGTGAAGGTATTGGAGGAGCGCATGGAGATGCATCTTATGCCGATTAAGAACGATTTGAGGGGCGATAGTTTTTGAGGAAAAGAAAAACAATGGTAAAAGAAAAATAAATTCGAAAGAGATTGAAATCATGTTTAAGATGGCAAAGTACCGACATGTGTCAAAGAGAAATTGGAAAGTTTCTATCACCAACCAGATGATAAGATGGTACTGTTGAGATTGTGATTAGAATGAGACCCAAATGTGAAAATATATGTATCATCGATGTTGTGGGATTTAAAAGAAAACTAAGGATTTATTAATGTTGTTAAAGTCCTCTACTTGGATAAAGACTTCTTTTCGAGCGAAACGATTTGGATTATACTTGGTGTAGTAGCCTTTCCTGTAATGGATGATACTTAACAATCGTGTTGTGTTGCGTGCGTGTAAGAGACTATGTTATGTGTTTGGGCGATGATGTCTCATCGCCGAGATCGAATGAGAAGGAAAATTATGGAAAATTTTGGGAACCTCAAAGGAGATTATTGGGCCATGGTGCTTTAGGTGACCTTGAGCACAAGTTCTAAAGGGACGCTATTATAGTTTGGTAATGATGGTTTATACTCCATTATGGTTGTCGGCTATCTATTGACAAATTGAGGAACTGATCACCCTCAAAGTAGACAAGATCGTGTTGGATGGAATAAGCTTGTCTTACCAACTTGATAGTGTGTACAGTGATTGACATTCTATCGAGAGAATAGTCGTTCACCAGTTCGCGTGAACCTAGTGGAAAAGTGGTTATGAAAGAGTTGGAAATTATTGAACAGTTCAGAGACTTGAGTTTGTATGCGAGCTAATACCGCAGAGTGGAAGGTTGAGTATACCAAAAATGAACAACGATTTTCTAGTTGATATTAAAGAAAGTCAAAAGCTAGACGTGAAACTTGTAGATATGATAGTTGATGGAAGTCAAGATGAAGACAATGATTTTAAGGTGGAATGATCAGAGTGGCGCAGCTGAAGCGTGATGTGATGCAATTAGTTATGTGTATATGACTTGTTAGGAGTAGAGAGTTAAACATCAGAGATCTGAGGGAACGATACAAACCAGTGGACATTCCATAATGGAAGTGATAGGTGAAGGGTTTGTATATCATTCGTGTTGCTGACATGTCAATGGAATGTATTAATTTGCATGCTCGATTAGTGAGACATAGCATTCTGGTACTGGTGTATGTGTCAATATTGTCGATATTATGGTTATGTTTATGTGCTTACGACGATATTACTGTGTAATGAAGTGATGAATTTTGTATCCTAGAGTGATACGATAAGGAGTGGGATAAACCAGTGCGTTCATAAATCGTTAACAATGAATCTTGTGGGATTATGGCGGCTGACTATGTGGGATGTTGGTTAGTGGTATTTGAAATGATGCCAAACATGACGTGGGAGCAAGAGAGTAGGATGCAAAAGTCATATCGGGAGTTGTTAGTATCAAATGAATTTTTGAGGACGAAAATATTCTAAGTGGAAGAGTTGTAACACCCTGATTTTGTTGAATTATCTTATTTAAATTAAATTAGATAATGTGATGTATTTGTGCGCTTTAGTTAATCTTTTGTTGTTTTGTGATGTATTTTGTATAGATTAGAGGCCTTAGGAATTATTGGAGTTGAGATCATGGGAGGTGTATGACCAAAAGTGTAGAAACATGAGGTGTAGAGAGATAACTAGTTATTAGCATTATTTGGATTAAAATATTATATTTAATACCATAGTATAATAATTAAATAAAATTATTAGTAGAATAATAGAATTACTATTATTTTGTAGTTATTTAGATAGTTATTTATTTAATTGGGAAAGACAAGATTGATTGATATTATGATTTAGGGGTCTTTGAAATAAAAAGAGAGATGGGAATAAAGAAGAGGAAAAACAATGTAGAAAAAGAACAGAGAAGACCGTAGAAAAGAGAAGAAGAGGAAAGGGCTAGGGCAAGAAGGTTCACCGTAGGAGTCAAGAATCTACCAAAATCCAAGGTAAGAGTGGATTTCCGACACTCTAATAGGTGGTATAGTTGTGGGTAGATGTTGATATTGAATGTTAGGTTTTGGGTGTAGATTGTTTTGTGAAATTGATAGTTGTATTCGATTGAATTGACGAAATTGGTTTGGTAATTTGATTAGAATTGTTGTGTATGATGTGGGTTGATGATTGTATAAATTTACATGTTTTAGTATGTTTACATTAATGAATTTTGGTACCACATGCATCTTACATTAGCGTCAGTTGTATTGCATTTGATTGAATTGTTGTTATAACGATGAAGTTGAGTTGCATAGTTGGTATGTGAAGTTATGATGGATGATGATAAATATGTATGTACTTGTATAATCATTATGAATTATGATTGATGATTGTTGAGCTTGGAATCTTGCGTGATATATCTGTCGTATACCTATGATTATATAACTTATTATATTATTGTGATATCTCATCCCTTCTGTTTGAATGTTGCCTCTACGTGGGTAACGTTTAGATGATCTGAAGTAGCTTGAGGTAGAGGCTCACTGAGAAGTGCCTCATTTTGCATAGATTGAGTCAGTGTCAGCTCTGATACGTACCATTTAGGAGTTTTATGTTTATTTTGTCATGATGGAAGTAAACTATTATAGAACTCCATTTTGTTGGATTTATTTGATGATTCATGTTGAAGTTTAAATTATGATAATAATAACTCATGTTAAGAAGTTAAGAATAACTGTTGTTGATATTTTCCGCTGCGAATAAATGAAATGAAGTTCAGACTTGAGCATGTGATTATGTGTTGTATATTTATTTATATGAGCATGTATGATGTATGAAGATGTGGCATCCTATTTTTGGTATTTTATTTTATGAATTAATTTACTATTATTTTATTAAATTACTGACAGGAAAAATAGGGTGTTACAGGGTTCTTTTTTGTCGACATATAAAAGATCCTTTTGTTCGAAGCTAACTTTTTAAAAGTGTTCTACAGATTCTCTATGTATATTTTCAAAAGATATTTGTAATTTGTAATAAGACAACTTATCAACATGTTCATATTTAGAATGAATTACATTCTTTTTTATTATTTTACTTTTCACGATAATAGGCCGAAATACAAACATTTGTCGATTCTTCACTATCACTTGAGTCTTCATCATCACTTGAGGAATCGCTGTCGCTTCTCCAAGAAATATATGCTCTTCTAGACTTGCTAGATTTCTTGTGTTGACCATTACTATTATATTTGTCAAGCAATGGACAATTCGGCTTATAATGACCAATTTCGACACAATTGTAACATGAAACTCTTGATTTCTCTTTCTTATTATCATCTTCCTTTGAGGATGTAAATTGTCTTCTAAACTTGATGAAGTTCTTATCAGAGTGTTTTACATTATTTCTTCTAATGTACCTATTGTACATTTTCACAAACAACCCCATTTCTTCGTCATCTAAATTCTCGTCGTCACTAGTATCACTATCACTTTGCCCATTTGTTGAGGACCTCAAACAATAAGCCTTTAGAGAAATAAACTTATTTTCTACCTCCTTATTCTTTCCTTTCTTCTTCTTTAGCTTCTTTTCATGCTTTTTCTCATGTTTCTCTAAGAAAGTGAGTTCTTACTCATGT